GGGCGTTACACAAAGTCTGCTACTTTTGGAACAGTTAACGATGAGGATATTATTGAGGAGTTCCGGGCACCCGCAAAGGGCATAAGACTGGAGTAGGTCGCCCACTCCCACAAAAATTTTATCGAGGGGATGCGTCTTCATCTGGCTCACGCTCAACAAGATCTTATACGACACGTTCTGACCCACACGTAGAAGAATACTTACAACAGAGTTATCAGCAAAACCTCCAGCTGTATGAGAGCGTCAGAATGATGCAGGATTTCATCACTCAAATGCACCCCATCATGACTTTCCCAGCGGTTACTCCTCCTGTGCCGTATGTTCGTCCAAGTCATCCGCCTCTGAATTCTTATGATGATAACGACGATGATTCTAGTGATGCTGCTAATTTAGGAGATTAGATTTTTATTAATGTAACAATTTACATTTCCGCACATTTCTACTGTAATTACAATTTTATTTTATCAATTACTTTTTACAATAATAATTTTTATTTTTATTTTTTATTATTTATTTCCTTTTATTTAATTCTTTTTTATTATTATAATATCATGAATTATATTTAATATTGGGTTTAAATATATAATAATATACAACATTAATTAGTAAAATAATAAAAATAAATACAATTTTAAAATATTATTTACAACGACAAATGTTGTCGCAAAAAAAATAAGTCACGTCAGCTAAATCTTCATCTTTTACGACGACTTAATTCAAAAAATATCGTTGTAAAAACTCAATGTCATGTAATCTTAACGATGTAACTGATGAAATAATTGTAGCAACTCATTTGCAACGATTGTAATCGCAAATATAATTGCGACGACTGCTTGTCATCGCAAAAATTATTTTTGCAACGAATCAATTGCGGCGACAGGTTTACAACAACAAGTAGTCGCTAAAACTTCATTTGCAACGACTTTGCATTTGTTGCAATAACTTTTTGTCGTCGCTAATAGCTTTATTTCTTGTAGTGACAGTAGTTTTGTTATTGTTCTGAATTGAAGAAAGGAGACAAATACCCTTTAAAAGTGTATAAGTCAGTATTTTTACCCTTTATTATTGATTAATAATATTTTTAGTTAAATAACTATAAAAAAAAAAGGTTTAATTAAGAATGAGAGGATAAATTCTGCCATTTATCTCTTCTGGAATTCGCAGATGACACTTGTCTGTTTTATGGGCTAAAATTCTATAATAATGTCCTAATGGAAGCTGGGCCGGATGGGAATGTTCAGTCACAAATAATACTTAAGAAGGATGTAGATTCCTTCACAGTCAAGGAAGGTTGGGCTTTCCCTCGCAAGGTTTGCTTCAACGGTGATCAATGCATGATGCCCCCACCTGATTCGTACCCGTATCTGAATTCTGCTCATTCAACTCTACTCACAATCCTACCAAACTTGGCTTTCTTTTGGGTTCTGGTTACATTGGCCTTTTTTTTATCTTTTAATTGTTTGAGAATATGTACAAAAGACGTCCATATAGATAATTCTAGTGTGAGTAATTTTCAATATACAGGAGGGAAAAGGAATGAAAATGATTTGTTCTTGAAAAGTAACATACATATAAATATAGACATTTATTATGGTCCATCTGGATGGACATTTTACCCAACGCAATATAAGTAAAAGTAAAGAAATAATATGATAGGTAACATTAATGTTGAAGATGCTTAAAATAATCAGCCTTACGTTCAATGAATATTTTTTTTAGAATAATGCTATAGACACCTATACTAATATCAAATTGTGTACCATCGACCAGCAACAAAAAAAAAAAAAAAAAAAAAAAAAAAAAAAAGAAAAACAAGTGCACCAATTCATAAATTGCCACTCTTTTATTAGTAGGTATCTAAAAAATTGTCACGTAAATTAATAGCAAAAAATTACACCTATTAATAAAAAATGACAACTCATAAAATAATACACAAATTAAAATTAAAATTGGTGTTTCTAGCCTTACTCATCATTTAAGTATACATCAACCAATGTTGTTGTTGTCACTTGCGAGTCTTGTGACTATGCATAATTGCATATTTCACTTTTTGCTAAAATAAACTTCAGTGAAAAAAAAATGTCGATTCATGGCTCTCAATTTATCAAAATAGCAATTCTCTCATCTCTGGCAGTTCGATGAAGATATAAAAACCACCCTTAATTTTTCCTTAGTTTTCCGAAATAATCTTGTGTTTTAGAAATAAAAATAAGTAATTTATAAATTGCTTCAAAATAAACCTTCAATAGGTTCATATGGAGCTTTTTTTTTCCCTTTACAAAATTCTTAAAATAGTAAATAAAATATAAATAAAACAAGATAATAAGATAGATAACAAAACATGAACTCTCAATGTTAAAAAAAAAAAAACACAAATTAATCTTGCTTATGCTTTTATTATGGCCCAATGTAATATAAGTAAAAGTAGAAAATATAATATGACAGTCATTGAACGCATTAAACACCTTAAAGTCTTAAAGTTTTAAGAGAGAGAAGGTCTTTAGAAAGCAGAAATTAGCCCGAGCTCCGGCACCGCCTTTGGGTGCGTCGTCAGATTCTCGGCCGTGAAATTTGGTCATTCGACTCGTCTATCGTGGACTTCTCGTTGACGGTGGTGGTGTACGGTGTGATGGCTCCGTTTGGGCAAATCAGAATTGATTAAAAGCTTGGAAGCCGAATGGACGATATCCTTTCTTAGGGGAGTTTTCTGCTTGGTGGCTGAGATCTCTTCGCTGGCTGTCTTCCTCAATGGTCCTTTGGCCGGACACCCTTCACCGGAGGTTTCTACATGCGATGGTTGGAGGTTTTTGTCTTTTTGTAACTTTTGTGTTTGTTAGATTTAGGTGTCCAGCTTAATACTGATAGGATAGTCTTGGTCTGACTAGAATTTTCTCTATGTCGTATAGATGTCTTTTTTCTATGAGTTTTGATAATCTGTCCCTCCAGCGCTCGACAGTTTATGTTGAAGATAGGAGTTTTCACCTGTCAAGTTTTCAGCCCACTAGTTGTTAATGTGCCGAGGCATTTTTCCAGTTTCGAACTTCAGGCGTGCATTTATCCCTCTAATAGGTTAGTATTATATCAAGACAACTGTTTATTAATATTTGAATGAAATGCAATTTTTCCTTTAAAAAAAAAATAATATCTAAGTCATTGAATATAATAGTAATGTTAAAAAGCATAACATAATTAGTGTTCCGTTCAACTACTATCATTTTAATATGCATCAACTGTTGTTGTCAGTTGTGGGTCTTGTGACGAGGCAAAATTGCACATTTCACTTTTTGCTATAACCAATAGGGGAAGTTTGGGTTATCGTCATAAAGCCCCACTACAGTGAAAAATTCCCCCAAAAATAGATTTTTTTTTTTTTTTTTAAATTCATGATTCTCAATCTATCAGAATAGCAATTCTCTCATCTCTGGCAGTTCAATGAGGATACAAAAACCACCCGTGCTTTTTGTTTAGTTTTCCGAGATAATCTTGTGCTTTAAAAATAAAAATAAGTAATTTAGAAATTGCATCAAAATAAACCTCGAATAGGTTCATATCGAGTTTTTATTTTTTTATTTTTTATTTCTTTTTAAGAATATCGAGTTTTTTTCCGTTTCAAAATACTCAAATAGTAAATAAAAAATAAATAAAACAATATAATACAAAAGATAACAAAACATGAACTCAATGTTTATAAAAAAAAAATGCTAAGGATAACAATTTAAATTTTAACTCTTGTGTACCAACTAACACGGCATGTGAATTATCATCTTTTTATTTATAAATACAATATTTTTTTATTAATTAACGTGATAATATTTTTACTAATGTAAAAATGACAATTTAAATGTCATATTAGTTGGTACACAAAAGTTGAGATAAAAATTAGTATCCTTAGCATTATTCCTAAAAATAATGCACAAATTAATCTTATCTATGGTTTATTTTGTTGCAATTTACAAATTACACAGGGCTGGAACTGTTTCTTCAATAATATAGGGTTATTTAAAGGGGAAAAAAACATACAAGGAATGTTTATATCCCCAATACAATCTTCTATATAAACAGTTAATAAGTTGAATTATATTCTGTGATAATAAATTTTATATAAAGTTGGTCCCTTAAAGTTGTCTAAGTTAATATATGAATATAGAAATTTGAATGCAGAAATCGTTAGTGTTTAAGAAATAGCATAAATCACTAGATGGGAATTCCTCTAGAGTCTAGAATTTTTTTTTTTTTTTTGATGTACTTTTAGTATAAAACTTCGTCTGATATTGCTTTTGAAGACTCCTTTTAGGTTATTAGTCTAGAATTTACAGAAGTTTAAGTCGAGATGTTTGGTAAATCTTGTTCAATCGACACTAAAAACTGTTGCAAATAGCAAAATTTGAAAAGCAATTTGCAGTCATTGTTGCGTGGCTACTTTGATTGTCATTCTTTAAATTTCGCTGAAATGTTCTTAATAAAACAATATTTAATTCTCTCTGTCTTTGTACACATGATTCAAAAATATGTTATATAAATACATATTACTTTAAATCTCGCTTATAAATTACACTCTTTTATTAAAAAAATTCTTTCATAAATACACTAGACCTATTGTTATTCAAATAATTTCAATAACTATAAGATTTTATTGTTAAAACGACACTAGTAATTTTGTTATACTTATTTTAGATATATTTGAGATAATAAACCTAAAATTAGATACACATATTTTTTAGTTGTGTGTAAAATAATTATGAATATTGAGCTTAATATTAGAAATAACATAAACAGCTGATGTGTGCTAAAATGTTTTTATTAAATGAAAAAAAAAATTCTATTTTAGTCATTATACCGCATCAATTTAATCCATAATTTACTAAACACCAAAGCATTGCTTTAGGTATTCTCAACCAATTTGAATATATATATATATATATAAACGCCCATTTACTTTTGATCATAATATTTTTGACTTACAGCATAAACCGGTAGAAAATATTTTAATAACAGCTAAGTTGGCCCTGAAACATAATTGCTCCAAACATTATTGCCAATGTTTATAAAATTATGTTTCAAATATAAGATCAGTCATCACAATACATCAAATAACTCTAGTTTATACACAAACGTAGATGCAAACGAATCCCCTTTAGTGTGTGGGGATTTATTACAAGCATTGGTAACCGGTTACAAATGAATCAATGACCAGCCAATCAGTGATTAAAAAAAAAAAACCATTCAACTTATTACAGCTAGTGACACTAGTTAGGAGCAGTGAACTGGTAGGAGGCATAAGACAGGGTACCGTTGCTCCAGCTATGGTGGATGAGCTTTGCCTTCGCTTGGTCGCCCGCTGCGCCCATTGCCACATGCAGCGGGTAGAAATGATCCGGCCAAGGGTGTGCCATTTTCGCGCACGGCGCCTTCTCTAGATACTTGTTGACATCTTCATATCTGCAATTATGGCAATTGTTGCTCAAAAGCTAAAGAAAAGCATGGCAATTGTTCGTTTTGAGTATAACACTGATTACAGTCATGATTGCACGGCAAATATCTCTAAATTTTTACTTCTAAATTATTTGATCACAAGAGAGTCAATGTGTAAGCCATGAATTTTAAAGATAAGGAAAACTCTATTATCATCTAGAGTGATCGAATTCCAAAAGAACTTGTCCGTATAACATGATATTTTTTTTTTTTTTGTAATAATGACTCAAAGGATTATAACACTAATCTAAGATAAATAAACTCCCAACTACATTCACACTTTTCGTAGTACAAATGTCGTTACTCGGTCAACCTTTACATGTTACATATAAGACAAGACGATTGCATTACGAAATAATTGCGTACCTTCCTTCTTCAAGGGCACGTCGAAGCCAAGTATCGAAGTCCACGGCCCAAGAAGCCGCTGAGCCATTGTCGAATCTAAGGGCCCTCAAGTTATGGGTGGCACTTCCGGAGCCGATGATGAGAACACCTTCGTCCTTGAGAGGAGCCAGAGCCTGGCCCAAGTGGTAGTGGTAAGTGGCATCCATTTGGGTCTGGACCGAAAGTTGGCAAACCGGGATTTGGGCGTCTGGGTACATCAACATTAGGGGAACCCACGCTCCATGGTCCAGCCCACGTTTTTTGTCTTCGTCGACCCGGTCATGCCCAGATGCCAAAAGAAGTTCCTTCACTCTCTTCGCCAACTGTGAAGCCCCCGGTGCTGGATACTTGAGCTGATGATGTCATGTCACATTTAACATTTCATGTTACACAAATGAGAATGCTAGCAAATTATACTCTCCTCAACTAATCTCCAATACTTTTTTGAAGCGGTAAAATCTCCATACATTATTCAAAAAAAAAAAAAAAAAGAAAAATAAATGAAAACAACTATATAATTGGCTCAAAACTCAACAAGTTAGGATGCAAAAAAAAAAAAAAAAAAACGTTTGGAGAGCACTTCTAATAACAATTAGATTCTACCTGTAACGTCCATATTGTGGAACCCACCTTCTATTACAAAATAATAGTCGGGCACTTGGTAGTGTTCAAACATTGTTTTAGGATGCAAGGCAATGAAAGGTTTTAAAGGGGGGAAAAAAGGGAAAAAGTTTCACACGTTTTATTTTTATTGATTTATAAGAAATAACATTGATCAATTACGACTAATTTCAATTTTTTACTTAAAAAAAAAATAGTGGGCAGGAGCAGGACAGATCCACACGTTATGAACACTGGACAATCGATTGAACACCAAGAAGTCAAAAGGCTAATATGAATAGTCTAAGAAATGATCACAATACAGATAAACAAAACAAAACAAAATATTATTATTATACAAGGCCGCACCAGGCACCACCAACCCACTCTGTATTTCTTAGGGGACGTTTAGAAGGAGAATTCGTGCCATGAATTTGTACAATAATTCGAATTGATTCGTGACTTGTTACAGTATTTTCTCACACACTAAAACGAAAATGATTCTAAATCATATTCTAAATCCATGAACTAAACGTATTTTAAATAAAATATAATTAAAAAAATCGCAAAAAAAAAAAGTTCAATGTCATCAACCACTCCACTTTCCTTCCACGCCAAAAAAAAAAAAAAAAGTTAAATGTCATCAACCACCCCCTTTTCTTTCACGCCAAAAAAAAAAAAAAAAGTTAAATGTCATCAACCACCCCCTTTTCTTTCACGCCAAAAAAAAAAAAAAAAGTTAAATGTCATCAACCACCCCCTTTTCTTTCACGCCAAAAAAAAAAAAAAAGAGTTAATTTTCAGCGAGCAAAACCATCCAAAATTTCAAATCCCTTCCATTCTCACCCCCAGAAATTGTAACACAACAGAAGAACCACACCAAATTTGTTTATTCTGAATCGGATATAGAAATTAAGACAGACATATAACTAAAATCTCTAACAAATATATATGTATATGAGGACTGAGGGCCAAGCAAATTAAAAAAGAGGTAGCTAGAAAATTAATTCGGAGAAATTAAGAATGAAATGAAATAGGAATAAATTAATTACCTGGTACATGGGTTTAGGAAAGCCATAGAAGTCGTAAATGGTGTCGTTAACTTTGGGGGGAGAGATGACGTTGACTGTTGGGACATGAGTTTCCCAGTGGCCTGAGATGATGAGGATGGATTTGGGTGTGTGCGGGAACACCGTTTGCTTCCAAGATTGCAGGAAATGCCTCGCCGGCAGGCTCTCGTCGATCGACAGCGTCGGCGATCCGTGCGATATGAAGAACGTCTCCTTTATCATTCTCTCTCTCTCTCTCTCTCTCTCTCTTAAGTTTTTTATTTTGCTTTCTTTCTTTGTCTTTCGTTTTAGTTGCTGGTTTTATATGTTGAGATTTCGGCCCACCGACTCGTCACGCGCTTAATTCACACGTGACGAACAACCTACGTTTTGTCTTAGCAAAACAACCTAATGGTTGTGCAAAAAAAAAAAAAAAAGTAATAATGATATGATGACGACGACGACGATGATGAAACAGACACACGTGCCAAATGTTTTTCAAAGTTTGCAAGAAAGGTCTAGAATTTTTTTTTAATTATATATTTTGATGAACATAAAGAGCTTTACAGAAATACAACTGGATTGACATGGAAATCTATCACATTATATTTAAAATATTAAATATACCTTTTAGATATTAGTGGGTATCTAAATGTAATATTATTAGTAATCATTGAGGGGTTGTTTTTTGGTCTAAAAAAAATTTAAAAAAAAACAACTCAAGTTTTAATTTTATTTAAGTTTATATTCTTTTAAGTTTTAACTTTATTCAACTCTACTCAATTTTATTCAAGTTACAATTTTAACTCAAGTTATAACTCAAATTCAACTTAAAAATTACACTCAAATTACACTTCAAAAGAACAACCCCTGAATTACTGACCTCTATCACTCGAATCCGCCGGAACCGCGGTTTAGCAATAAGAGTTTACTTAAAAACCAAGTCACAAAAAATACCAAAATTTACACACAAATCCACAGAACCACCAATGATATACATAAATTACAAAATCAAAGAATAACAAAAATAAAAAAGAATTCATAAAAAGAAATCTTTAATTCAACATGGAGCAGAGCAACATGCCGAAAATCTTAGGGGTTGTTCTTTTGCAACAAAAATTAGAAAAAGTTTAAACTCAAGTTACAATTTTATTCAAGTTCACGTTCTTTTAAGTTCCAACTTTATTCAATTTTACTCAACTTTATTCAAGTTACAACTTCAACTCAAGTTATAACTCAAATTCAATTCAAAAATTACACTCAAATTATACTCTAAAAGAACAACCCTTTAGATTCTTAGTAGTTCTTTTACCTGACTATAGACTAGAGTCTTTTTTTAATTTGAAATATTTTGACCGTCGATTATGCCAGATCTCTCTCACTTCCATGTAAAGATCATTTCTTTCATTTGGCACTCTCACCTACTTAGCCAAAGAGAGGTACATCTCGATGAGCTTTGGTAACGTTGTTGATCAATTTCATAATGAGTACTGTTTTTACTACTCCAGCCCTTTCTAAATAGGCCTTTTTTTCCTCCATATCAATAAGGGGATCTACTACTTTAATTTGATATTTCAAAATATTATCGATATTTTCACAAAATTTCTTTAGAATAATATCGTTGCGTTAAGCTCTTTAATAAAACTGATATCACCATAAAAATTTTATGTGTGGAATTTTCCCGAAAATTTTCCTTATATTCGGGGAAAAAGATATTGCACAACTCTTCTAAAATCGGTGGTTCTAAAATACAAAAATTTCCACATTACTTCCGTTTACAGAACCTTTGCATATGTTTTTTTCTTTTTTTTCCTCTTCTGAGTTGGATGTTTACAAGAAGCAGGGCATTAATAAAGGTTTTCTTTTTTTTTTGCTTGGAAGTTTTTTTTATTATTTTAGTTTTTATTAAATTATAAATTACTTTTTTTGGCTAATCAAATTATAAATTACTTTGTTACTCCTAAATAGTGATACATCAGTGATGTGCCCGCGCGTTACAACGGGTAATAATTTTACATTATATAAAGTTGTTGCAAAAATGATGAAAATTAAAGATGAGATATCATAGGTAAAAGTGAAAGGAAATAATGTTTATAATACATAAGTAGTTTATATGTACATATTTATATATTGGTACACCCGCATAATGTTCTGATAAGGAGTTATTTACATTGTACTTCAATTTTTTTGGTGCCTCTTGTTTTGCTTTTTTATCTGCAAAGCATAAATTTTGAGAAGGTTAGTATTGATAATTGGTGAAATTGCAGATGTTTTGATTTAGGGATAGTGATATTACTTGATTTTTGGACGTTTTGTAAGTTGTTCTACTTCTGTTGATCTAGAACTGAAATAGTGAAAGTTGTTTAGCTGTGTATTTAAAATTATAAACATTATTTTATATTTATCTATAATATAAATCAGTATATTTGACTTACCTTGTGTCTAATTTTTTTGGGTTTGGAGTTTGTGGATGAATTGGTTTTGGAGCTGTTGGTGTCGTTCTTGTGTGAGACATGGAATGGTAAAATGGTGTTTATATATGAGATAATATTTTTTATGTGTGATGAGTATAAATTAGTAGAAATATTTTACCTTATGATTGGCGCTACAGTTGTTGATATCAGTGTCGTTGGTGTTGTCTCTTCTGTGTCTTCAAATATCTTTGACACTATTGTATTTGTTTGTGGTCCTCTTTGTTGAAAGTATATTTGGAAAATTTTTGCCTGCCCTCTTAGTTAAGTGATGACCAGGGGAATTGTAAATAGATCGGTGAAGCCTTCATCAATTGTGAGGGTAGAACATGGTTTTTTTATTAGGTCTTGCGCTGCTCTGCTAAATATAGTCACATTCATGTCTCAAGTTGTATCTTCAATTTGGACGGTTAATCTGTACCTATAATATGTAAAGTAATAGTGAATCGATATAATAAGTTGTATATTATGGATAATAAAGGGAAATAGATTTTGGCAGTAGTGTGGTTGTAATTTTGATTACCGTTGGTGTTGTTTTTATGTGTCCATGACTATCACACCACCAACCAATTCTTACTTACTTTAGTTGTCGATAACATCTAGGACAAGAGTTGTAATACCAAGCTTGTTCTGATGAGAATCCTGTTATTATAGCTTTTACTGTAAATTTTATGCCCTATGTAGATAAGGAAAAGTTGTTAATTTCAATGGTATAATTAAAAGGAAAAAAGGGCAGGAAATATTATGATACTAACTCCGTTACTTTGTTTGTCTAATGTTTTTAGTTCATCAATTGTTCTTCTGTTATATGTCTTTTGTTCTTCAATGGATTGGGTTAATGCTATTGATGCTGCTGTGAAGTTAATTTCTTGAGATTGTTGGGAGAATCCGTGGATCAAAGGGTAACAATGGTTAGGAAAATAAGTAATAGAGGATTTTTTTTTTTAAATATTATGAAGTACTTTTATTGCCTTGTCTTTAATGTTTGTCTCTAGTATTTCTGGGTCAATATAGAAAATTGTTGCTGCAGTGTTTGATACATATGCATTTTCTAAAGTTTGGACGATAAATTATTTAGTATTTTCATATGTTTTGTTTTTATGTAGAGTTATTTTTATAAAATGTTGGGAAAGTGCCTAGTTATTGCTTTACCAACATTGCTGTAAAGACTGCCACAACTAGTCCTTTGATTGATTGGATGACCTTCTTATCGAATTGATCTGCTTTGTATCCCTACAAAATAACTTGAAGATGTTCATTTTTCTTGGGAGAATAAAATAGGAAAATGAAGATTATAATGGAATGATTTGTCTTGTAAAAGGTTTGTGTATTTATTGGGACATAATTGCGATGAAGTTTGTGCAGAATTTATTTACCTTATATTTTGTATTATTATGGTCCGCCGCGATGTCTGTCTGTTGTTGATAATTGTTTGCTCAATCGTTTGTACTTTTGTAATAACGCCAATGACATATGTTAGTAGATAAATAGATTGTTGTAAGAATATGGATGAATAATTAATGGGAATTTTTTTAGAAACAATGGTTCACGTTACCGCTTAAAATGTCGGTTGCCTGTATTCTATGATGAAGCTGATCGAACTCGATGAAATAAAATCTATGGAATGGAATGGGCAGTGGTTCTTTTGTGACTGGGGCAAATATTGTGGCACGTGCAAATTGTAACATTGCATTATGGGGTACAACTTTGTATGTTGGCTTGTTTTGTGTAACAAAGAAGTTGATGTCATATATATTGCCCAATTGAATTTTTTGAGAAATAGTGTATGAGTCACGTGCGCGAATTGTTCCTTGAATTACTTCGTGCTACAAGTGAGAGAAATGAGATTGTTATTTATTGTATAATATCATATAAGATCAAACATAATATAATATGGTGTTTGCAAAAGAATATTACTTCATCATCGATTAAGACACAGTCAAGGCTTATTAAACGGTTTGTAGTGAGGTCATTGTTTGTCCACAATCTGTAAATTCTTGCCCTAATAGTTTCATAGACTTCAATTGCTCTTAATGCGCGAATTGGTGTTGTCATTTTTCCTAATCGTTGGTGGAGAAAAATCATTATTTAATATATGAGTGAGTAATTTTATAGAATATACTATTAACATATTCATTATAAAAGATTTTAATGATGCAACATGAGCAATATGACGTTGGATATGTGTTTGGGTTATTGGTAATAGAGTTGTTTAATAGTATAAAGGAAATAGTAGCATAGTATATTTATTTTTATGCAATATTTTAGATTTTTATGTAATATCATGTAGAATTTCTTTATAGACAATGTTTTTTACATGGTTTGGATATTTATTAATTGAGTCATGGATTAATATGTATAGTCCTGATGGGATTGTAACTCTTGATAAAGCAACATATAATTGTCTCTATGTAAAAATTTCACTTTCTAAGTATAATCTAATTTTATTCAGGATTGTCCCTGGCTTTTATTTATTGTCATTGCGCAGCAAATTTTTATGAGAAATTGGCATCTCTTTAATGTCAATGGCCATTTAGATTCATGTACAGTCATTTCTATTCTTGAAATATAGACTTTTTCATTAATGTTGTTTAAGTTTTTGATTTGTCCTTCTATAATTTTGTTGGCTAATTGTGTGATAATAAGTCTTGTTCCATTGCATAGTCCAATAGATTGATTTAAATTTCTTAATAACATTACAGGAGTTCCTATTTTAAGATATAGTTGATGTGGTGGTATTCCGTTAAAGTTTAGAGTGTGTAAAAACTCTTGAGGATATATTAGATTAAGTTTATCTATATTTTCGGAATAAGATACA